GTATAATGTTATAACATGATATAAAACTCAAAAAAGTTGATTTTACATGATATTGCCCCTTTAATAAACTGATGCATCTAGATTTATTCCGGTACACGGCAGCTCTACTGATGCAATTGCATCGTGCACATCCATGAATTGGTACAAGTTGGGTGATCTCCATGTCTSGACTGGAAATCCGCACCAGTTGTTCATGAGATATTCTGCTGACAGACTTCCAGGCAAAAGTTGTTTACCATGTTCCCTGGCTTTCATGGCAGCAGGTGATAAATATGAAAACCATAATCTGAGCTTCTCAGTCCTGCGGGAGACGGCAGTGACACCTCCTCCCCGCTCCGCCGTCCCTCTGTTAGGATTTGGCTTCGTCTTTAAACCCTCCTGACGAGGAATGTGTGTCAGTCCCTCTGCAGGCCTCCGCTGCCAAGAACACAATGTTGTTGGAACGTGATCGCATATGTGGAGAACATGTGTAAAGATGTGGGGGCGRGGAGGGGTGCAGAGCTCCTGCCCCCTTTGGCCCAGATGCTGATGGACGTTGTTTGGATCGGTGTAATGGGTGCTGGGCCCCATGCCAGGGCCACAGCTCTCATGTAAGGTGGAAGTTGTTGCTCCAACTGCCAGCTTGCTTCACAACAGGATCCTAGAAAAGATGCAGGCGAGTGGCTGGGAGAGGAGGAGGCCCAGCTGTGTGGCTGTGGTTATGAGCCAGGTGGAATTATAATCATTCGCCTTAACGTTTAGTAGACCCTAATCAAATGACCAACGGCCGAGAGATGACTTATTTATCAGCTTCGGTCTCGAGTGGCACAAATTAGGCCACGTCCACTGGAGGTCAGGCTGCCAGCATGGCCTAAGATAAGTTGCAGTTTTGGGTACACAGATGAAAATAAAAATCAAAATATGCTCATCGAGAGACAGACAAGGCTTTGATAAGTCCCAGAACATCTGGTAATTACATATTCTGTGCCGTGGGTGGGTTACAAGCAAAAATGAGCCAAAATCCAGCCTGGTTTCAGATTCCTCTGTTGCCTGGCAATAGAGATGTGGGTTGTGTATAATCTCTCACCTAGGATTGCTGCACACGGAAGACACGAAGACACCTTCCAGCCAACTCTTTTTCAATCAGGCCCCTCAGGAGAGGAAGAGTCAGGCGAGCGTTCGGGCTCAACCGGCAGCCACAACAGATCTTTTTTTTTTTTTTTTTCCTCCCGGATGTGGTCGCACCACGGGCTGCCACTGCTGTCAGCTCGGGGGTTAGATCTCAAGCTTATTTCACGTGTGGCTGGGTGCGAATTAGCATTTGCTCCGCTTCCACCCCTCGCCACGCCGCAGATTCGCCTGCTTTCCCACCCGCTGTTTACACGCACGGCTTCCAGACGCCGGGCCTCAGCGCTGCGGCGTGCTAATGCTCAACAAGCTGCTTTGTGGTTTAACGACAGATCGGAGCCAAAGGCCTGCAGAAATCACCCAACGCTGATATGCTTCGATACCATTAATCTGTCGCAACGTTTCATCGGTGTAACCACRACTAGGCTCAATACGAAGAAATAAAAAGTTTTTGATGAGCAGCAGAAATCTTCAAAATTTTACAAAATGTGTTTATTCTGCTGAATTGAATCATTAGTTTAAAATTTAAACTTGATTAAAAATTTATTTTTACACTAAATTAAGAAAAAAAATATTTACTTTATGATACGTGAYGTATCTTGATGAATATGTATCTAGTAATGGTGCAACAATACATGCATCTGTATCGAACCGTTCAGTACAGTGCTCTAGGTTCAACACACACTTGTATCAAAACAATACAATTTTTTTTTATTTATTTTTATCAACTTGTCTTCTGAAGATGCTCTGTGTTGAAGGATCAGTGGATCTGTGTTCGACTACTCCRCCTAGGCTGCATTGTCGAGCACAGATCCACTGAGAAACTTGCTGTTTCAGCAACATTTAATTTGAAAACTGTATTTTTGAGGTTAAACAAATGTTCGGAATTCATTTCAATAAATTATGAGTTAAGAAGAGCATGGAAATTTCTCTTTTTTGTATTGAAAAAATATTGAACCGTAAAACTGAAATAATCGAACCAAATCAAGAATTTTCTATATCATTGCACCCTTAGATACACGCACACACACACACACACACACACATATATTTATATATACTGTATATATATATATAACAGCTCGCTGTGCCCCACTATTTGAGAAGCACAGATGCAAAGGGACATTTTCTGGTTTTTGAGTACATTTAAGCAAAAGAAGAGCTAAATTAAACTTTTATCACAGTTTTTGCCAGTGTTTGCATATGTGTGCATGTTTCGAAACATCTCATGAACCGTTAGAYAAATCTCAACAAAACTTGCAGAAAGTAACCATTAAATAGACATCTACAGTTAAATTATCATAATTTTGGAGTCAACACAGTTCATGATGGCCGTCAAGACTAATCTAAAGTGACCAGATTTTACCAGAGATCATGCTAGTGCTAGTTTTAGGGTTTGACCCAGACGGCTGTGTTTGCATTTACGATCCTTAAATGATAAATGCAAACATGGGTGACATGCATTCCTAATTTTAGTTTGTATAGAAACAGCATAAAATCCTGTCGGAGGGAAGGCATTTGTACTGATGAGCAGATTATTGTACCAGAAGAAAAATGTCCGTTGGGTTGGCAGTGACCCGCCTCTCCCATGTGGCGCTGTCACCTGCAGGTTTGTGGTGAATTGGCAGCGATTGCAGGCATATGTCACACTCAGCCCTCTGCGTGTGTGTTAGTCAGCCCTCTGTTGCTCTCACCATCTCCATTGCATATTGTGAAAATTTTCTCTTAGATGTTCGAACCCACATTCTGAGTTGTTTTATGTTCTCCTATTTCAACTATTTTCTGATTTAAACCCTTTAGGGATGTTTTTTTTATTATTTTACTTGTTTTTTGTTTCCTGCTCTGTGGGTTCCCTTGTCTCTCCCCTAGCCCCCTGTTCTCCTTGTCATCACAGAGGGCGGCTGACATCACCAACAATCTTAATAACCACCTTTCAGCTGTAATCACACGGCTGAAGCTCGCTGAGAACACTTTTTATCTTCTCTTAACCCTGTGACATTACCGTCCATTGTTCTTCTGAACAGAAATAAAGGTTTTTGTTTTGTTTTTTTAAATAAAGAGAACTTGAGCTCTAAATCTGATGAAGAGAAGCATCGGCTGAACAGACGGTGCTCACAGTCCGGCTCTGCCCATTTCAAACGAAGTGCTTATCTTCTCTTATCCAGTGTCGCAAAGTTTGCTTTTGCAGATATCTGCACGCAGCCGAGCACACTTTCCACGGAGCGAGCTCCWCGACGCTTGGCCTGGCACCTGACAGGCAGACGTGGCCAAGAGGAAACGCAATCCACGCCACCGTGCTTAGTGATAACATCGCCGCTCTTTGAACTCCAACAAAACGTACAAATCGTATTATAATTCGCACCTCGGTAAATAATTGCCGATCACGTCGGTGTAATTAACTCTTACTCCAACAGTAATGTTAGGTGGTGCTTAATGAGGTGCAAATCTATGGTGTTGTTGTTTTTTTAAATCCTCATTTTCCTTCCCTGTCTCGCTTAGACACATTTAATCTCGTGGGAAATAAAGAAGAAAAGGGAAGGAAAAAAAAACAACAATGTTGTCACTCCGCCGCTCGGCTAAATCTGAAGCGCTCCTCTTATTTAGCGTCTCCCTGCCATCTCGCTCGTCGCCCTCAGGAGTTTTTGTCCTATTTATCGTTCTTTCATCGCAGACAGTTTGTCCTTTTGCACCAGAGCTTTTTGCATTGGTAATGATGGTCTCTTTACACAGAGGCTCGTCTCTTTTTCTCATTCCGAGYCCCMCTGTTTTTGTTAAGAAAAAAAAACKAAGCTGTGTGTTTGCTTGTGTGCATCTGTTGACAGCAGTGAGTTTGCGGTGGCACCGACGGTTGCTCGCGCTCTCTGCGAGCAGGAGCCTGCCATCTTTGAAGCCAGAGCAAAGCTGCCTTTTTTTGCCCCATTTCTATCAATCATTCATCACTGGAGGCTCTGGCTGTTGGTGATTAAAGCTTTTGCTTCTGCAGGGCAGCGTTTGACTGTGGATATGTAATTCGTAGTTATGAGTACAGCTTGCATGAAATTAAAAAAAACACATTCATATGTGCGCACCAAGTCCTGCCGTATGTCTGCCTACAGAAGTGCAAATACACTGCATATACAGTATTGCAGTGACACTAACTGGAGTMGTTTGAGAGAGAAAAAAAAGTATCTGCAGGTTGTAACTGCTCTAATTTGTAAGGGAAATATTCTTGACATTTCACACGTTGCTGGAGTTTTAATCAGAAGTTGCGATTAGACATAGAAAACTGTTTGTATCCTTTTCTTCTAACTTCATGATGATTCTGACGCAGGGGTTCTTAACCTTTTTGACCTCGGGGCCAAATTTGTTGAACATAAAGTGGCACGAGGCCCAGTCAGACATTACCAATGTACGGATCAAAATGATAATTACTCTAAATCTTGGTTTAATTTTTATTGTATTTACATCATAACTAAACTATCATAATTAACGTAACTAAATTAAATACACTTACAGTTTAAAAGTAAAACTCCTGTCAAATAATCACAAGACGTGATTATGACAAACATTTGTTTATATTGTAACCTGCCCATAACAATTATTTGAACAAATACAAAGGTTGGTCTTATCAGCACAAAAATATATATTTTTCAACATAAACAATAACAAAAATAGACAATTCAAAAAATAAAATTATGGGCATAAAATAAATTAATTAAAAATGTTTAATATAAATGTTTCAAGTAAAAAAATGTAAAAATAAATTTGATAAAGTACAAATGAAAACAGCATTTTTTACTTTTGCAGCTAGAAGCTGCTTTTCATTTTAGTGACAAACAATAACAGTAACAACAGCATTTTGATAAGTTTAAAATGTCTTTAAAATACATTCAGAATGTTTAATAATAAACTAAAAAATTAATTTAAAGTGAAAATTGAAATATAGTTGTATCTGCAACTGTATTTGATAATGTTTTGAACTTTTAAAATATTGCATGGTAAAAACAGAAGCTGCACTTCATATTAGTGACAAACTTTGGTGTTTTTTGATGAGTTGCTTTCATTTTTGCTTGTACTTTTAAATTAAAATAGGTTTCCATTCTCGGCAGGTTTCTAAGGTTCTTCTTCTACTTTTTAAAAAAGTTGTTAAACATCTGAGTGGCGCACTACTGCTACTAGTGGTGAGAAAGTGTGTTGCACCTTATTAAAAATCAACGCGGTCCCACGGCCCAAAGTTAAAAACTGTTGTTCTTTTGAGGCCTTCAAGGTGACGCTCGCGGCCCATGGGWTAAGAATCTCTGGGTTATAGGATTTAGAAATTTATAAACCTGCATTGTTTCGGGACATTGTTGTGGTTAGGTGAAACAAAATCAAACATTTCCATCTTTTCTCAGTCATTCATCCATTCCTTGCTTCCTCCCCTTCCCTCCGCCAGAACCCATCTCCGAATCGGCAGACCGACCCACCCCCAACCCTCCCGCCTCCACCCCCAGCTCAACCGCCGCGGCCACCATCATCACCACCACCGCTGCCCCCTTCCACCCTAACATGGTGTGGGCCATCCCGCCTCCAATGACGGCCACCTCGGAGTCCCTCCAGCAGCCTCAGACCACCACCACCACCTCCTCCACCCACAACCACCACCACCCCATCCACATCCAGCCTCGGCTGCTGCTGCCCAACGCCGCTGCCGTCATCACCACCACCTTGCCCCCGCGCAGCGGCGCCGCCCCCACCGCTGCCGCCGCCCTGTTCGAGGGCTCGGGCAGCGGGGAGCCGAGCGGTGACGACCAGGCCGACGARGAGGATCCCACGGAGGATGTCAGTAGTGGCAACCCACCAGAAGCCAGTGGGGCAGACAAGACTGTTGGTAAATCCCTGATCTCTCACTTCATTATCCATAAAACCTAAAGTGGGGGGGATGGGATTTTTTTTTTCTTAAGAATGGGTTAGATAAACTCAGAGTCAACCCTTAGCTGACATCATAACACATTCATGTCATCATCTGTTAATTAGAAACTAAAAATAGAAATCTGGCTTCGGTAATTGTATGCAAATTGATTTTGAGGAGACAAACGACGAAGCCAGCCAGGCACGGAAAAGAAATCTTTGTAGAGAGTCGCTGTTAGTGTCGTTTCYACTCGCGAGAGATGTATATCTCAATTTCAGACAGAAAAGAATGTATTTGCATGGTTCACTGTCGCTACATCACCCATGCTTAATTTTCTTTCTCTCCCATTCCACCAGCAGCTCTCAAAACAAACCCAGACTCTGTAAAATACGCTCCCAGCAGGCCGGAGAGATGAAACCGTTGGCCTGGATCCGGGGATCTCTGAAGCCTGACTTGACAGACTGATGTGACTGAGAGGTCGAGGTGTATTGTAGACAGCACACCTCGTCACATGACTGGTCTCAAATCACTGCTGACACGCCCTTCTGACTGTAACAACCGGCTCCTGGGTCTCCTCTTGGACAACAAGGAATGACTGAGACTTCCCAATTAGACCTCGTTTTTTTTTATTGGTATTTTTCCTGATGGTGCATTCCATCCATCCACCTGTCTGTCCTCGATGCCTGACAGCCTGACAGGATGAAACAACATGCTCCAGTGTTTTCTTCCCCAGCTTCTCTCCCCTCTCTGCTCGGTCCGTCTGTCCAAGTTTTAGATTTATTCTCTTGTCAGCTGCTGACCACAGTGCTCAGTGACGTGGAGAGCATGTAGCCTCTCTGCAAAGGAGACYCTGTGTGTTGTGGCTGTGTCCGTCAGATTGTGTATGTGTGTGAGCGTGAACAAATGTGCACYGGAGCCTGGTTTCCCAAATTCTGCAGCAGTAACGCACACGACTTTGTGTGGCTGAGGGCTCCACAGTGCACATTTTAACATGGGATACTGAAATTTAAACACTGTGCTTGTTTATTTGTATKTATGTGTTTATGTGTAATTGTCCTCTCTACCTTTCCTTGTCTCACTTCGAGGCTCTTTGTACATGTTGTCATGTGTGGTGTCTGTGGCAGGTCCAAAAACAACCAGAACTAACAAATCACTAACACAGTATTTAGCATCATATATAGTATATAGTACTGAAAGATCATGTCTAGAAGAGACCAAATTATGCGCAGGAGATCAGTTCAATTCTCAAACTCCAATATAACCTCAGATCTGGTCCTTTTTCTGAATCCCCATTGTTTCGGAGACTTGAGGGCTCGTTATACTCCATTCGAAGCTGAACAGTCGATCTTTGCTAGCGCTACAAACAAGCTAAGGTCCTCCATGCATATTTTCAGTTGCAGGCTGAGTCATTTTTGCGTTCCCCTCTCTGTCATGTGGATGGAGGACCTCAATGACGAGAGGAGAATCTAATACGTGTATATGGTGATAGCATCGGGGCTAATGCTAAAGCTAACAGGCTAAGCTGAGGTTCTTCTTCCATGAAGCAGCTC